GCATATGCTTGATGGGATGCTTTTCCGCTTATGAGACTGGGAGAGGCATGAGATGGGCGGAGGCCGTAATCGATGATCCTTTCAGTGCGACTGCTGTGGGCATCTGCTAACACCAGGCGCCTCGCTCAAACCACAATGCACAATGTCGCCGGCCCTCGTGCTGTTAGAAGTTACCCGAGGAAGCTCTGCATCATCGCAGCCATCTCAGTACAAAGTAGACGAATACAATGAAGACGACAACACCGCCCCAGAAGATGAACTTATCCTGCTTGGCTCTGCGCTCGACCATACGAATGGTGTCACCTGAGATGCCTAGAGTCGTGCCGACGCTGTACAGCTTTCGCTGTGTGTTTTTCAACATCTCACGCTGGTCGCCTAAATTGCTCAGGACATCACGTCCGCGTTCGAGGTACTCGTCCAGCACTTGGTTGGAGGAGGTGAAGAAGTTGTTCTCTCGAAGCGCATGGCCTTCCCTTTGCTGATCCGCGCCCAGACCGTAAGGTGACTGGTAAGAGCTGTAGCTGTTGCCTTGCTGGCCGGGCACAAAATTGGGGTTGTTTGTCCTGAACAGGGGATTCACATTTTCTCCTCGGCCAGCACCGGATGCAATGCTCGCATCGGCGTATGGGTTCTCAGGAGTGGCAGCAGCATGCGGTCTCCTCCCAAAAAGCTCGCTACGATTTTCAGCAAGCTGTTGGTGTTCACGCTCGTGCTTCAATTCCGCAAATCGTGATCGAAACTCCAGCAAGTCGGACCGAAAATTCGAGATGCGCTCTTTGCCTTTCTCGGCCTTTTCAGGCACAAGCTCGTCGTTGATGGCGCGTTGGTAGTCATCTAATGTCCTCGAAAAGGAGGTCAGGGAAGTTGTAATCTGGCCCTGGATGGCCACGGGATTCTGAGAGCTGTTATTGGCAAGGGCTTCGAGGTCGGCACGGATGGCTTTGCTCTGGCGGAGAGCCGAGTTGTATAGCGCACTCTGTAAGCGATTAGTGCGAGTCAGGGTGTACTATTTGTGCGTGCGTGGTATACCATCGTGGCGTATGTGGGAGGTGTTGGTGTGTTTTGCGACGCATGGTCTCGACAGAAGAACAGAAGAAATTACAGCTCTCGGGCTTGAACTTTTGCTGTCCCGGGGCGCAACGTGTCGACACGCGCTTCCCGCCGCCAAGCAATTCCGCAGAACGAAAGCATGTACGTCATTTCAAGACCAAGTCCGTCCATCATTATATCAAGTTCCTGAATGTCAGACCAACCTCCAAGACCCTTTGATGCTACGCGGACCAATATGATGATACGGCGATGACCTACGATATCCCGATATGAACGACTCACTCCTCTGCTAAGACGCTGGGAAATGCTATACCACAATGGACTTGCTCCGCCAGGTAGTAGCTGGCCCGCGAGCGAGACATCCTGAGGCGGGTCTCGACCTGTGCTATGTTACGGACAACATCATTGCTACTTCCGGCCCCAGTGGCACATACCCTCAAGTCGCCTATCGAAATCCTTTGAAAGACCTAGTCAAATTTCTCGACTCGAAACACGGGGATCAATGGGCCATCTGGGAGTTCCGTGCGGAAGGCACGGGATATCCAGATGAAGAGGTCTACAACAGGATACGGCATTACCCATGGCCCGATCACCATCCTCCTCCTTTCGCCCTCGTTCCACTGATCATAGGCAGCATGCGTCAATGGTTGAAGGACGACACTGCCAAGGGAAGAGTGGCAGTTGTACATTGCAAAGCAGGAAAGGGCCGGAGTGGCACAATAAGCTGTAGCTATCTCATCAGCGAGGAGGGATGGACTCCTAAAGATGCCATGCAACGCTTCACAGATCGCCGAATGCGACCAAATTTTGGAAATGGCATCACCATCGCAAGTCAGCTGCGATGGATCACATATGTTGATCGCTGGGCGAAGCACGGAAAGCAGTACGTGGAGAGACCCATCGAGATCGTCGAGGTCCACGTGTGGGGCTTGAGAGACGGTGTCAAGATTGCTCTCGAAGGATATGTGGACGAGGGCAAAGTGATCAAGACTTTCCATACCTTCAAGAAGGACGAGCGGAAAATCGTTCGGGGCGAGATCCGCAAAGATACAGGTTTTGCTGATGTTGCCATGGAGATGATGGGCAAGAAGAAGACAGAGCAAGCAGCTGATGCAGGGAAGCAGATCAAGGATGCTGAGAAGACGGAAGCAAAGGTGCTTGAGAGACAACCATCTTACGACGACAGAGATGGAGGCGATGTTGTCTTTACTCCATCGAGCAGGATTGTGCTCCCGTCTTCTGACGTCAACATCGACTTCGAACGACGAAACAAGAGCAAATACGGCGGTTTCACAATGGTCACTTCTGTAGCTCATGTCTGGTTCAACGCGTTCTTCGAAGGCAACGGCCCGGAACAGAAGGGTGTCCCGGATGACAGTGGAGTCTTCAGCATTGACTTCGATGGCATGGATGGTATCAAAGGCAGCTCTCGGAAAGGTACAAAGTGCTTCGACAGATTACAGGTTGTTTGGAGATCCGTCGACAAGGCGCCAAGCGTCAAGGTCGACGAGCCATCTGAAAGCACCGAGCACATTCCACAAGCGCGGCCAGCGGAATGGAAGCAAGACGAGAAGTCCGAAGACTTTGAAAGGAAACTCGGTCTCCGACAAGCAACCTCGGATTCGGCGGATGTCTCCCGCGCTAGCAGCATGCGAACGGAACGAACCAGTGACAAAGACGACGTCAAAGACGAGTTGGATACAGTACAGAGCACCGGACCTGACGGAAGGCAGCTCGCCGAAGGTTTCAATCACGATCGACCCCCGATTGGGACCAAGCTAGGGAAACTAATCCCCAGCAAGTCTTCTTCGACGAAAGATGCCAGCAAGGAGGACTTGGCGTCGCAAAAGGACGGGAATTCAGAAGCGCCTTCGTCATCTACAACACTGGCGGAACCGAATTGCTCCCAGGCAGACCTTGAGGGCAGCAGGCACCATGATCACACGATAGGTCACGTGAAGTTGAGCAAGAACACGACTACCAGTTCGTAGTACGACCGGATGTCGCGTCGCTCAATCATATCTAGCGAGGCGTTCGGGCGTGATCGGGTGGCATACTGGTGATGGACGAGACGAGATGAACAGCACTGAGAGGCGATAGATTGTCAGTAGATACCCCATCATACATTATCATGGCTGGCCAGAGGTCGCTCTCTATCCTTGCGCAATTCCCTCCATCTCCCTCTCAACATCCTCACAAATCTCTCGTATAAACTCCTTCTCATCATCAACACCCAACATCCCCTCCCACCAAGTCACACTCAACATCAACGCGCCATCCTTCGCGCTCGCTACACTCACACAAAACGGTGGTCCAGTCCCGTTTGCAGATTGCGAGAAGATCATATTCTCAACTCGATATTTTTTTGTTTCCCCTCCATTATCACCATCATCGAAGAAAACCCCCAAATTACTAATCTCAAAACTCACATCTGCACGACATTTCGACTTCCTGATCGTCCACTCCCGGAAATTCGACAAGTATTTCAGGAGACCGACGGGATGATCTTTTGTTGTCGAGGCTGCGGCGGCGAGTTTGGAAGTTAATTTCTGGATTGATGTCCATTCTGTTTCTGCGAGAGCAGGAGTTGAGAGGAGGGATGGGGGTATTTTGATTGTTTCGGTGAGTGCGGAAGAGTAGTTAGCCATTGGTTGATTCTGTGCTTGGCCTAGAGCACGGCGGAGATCGATGGGTGTTTGTGAGAGGAATGTGGTGTGGGTTTCACCACGTTTTGTGAGGGCTCTGCTTAAAGCTCGGGCGAAGAGGTGTTGGAGGAAGGCTGTTAGGCGGGTTGAGTGGTTTCTGCATGCGGATAAGGTGTTTTTGAGCGTTGAGGCGGGGACTGAGGTTAGATGGAGGGATGTTGGAGGGAATTTGGAGTCGGAGGGGAGGGCTGGTCGACTTTTGGCGCCGAGCCAAGCGTCAGATGGTGTGTTGTCTGAGCTGAAACCCAGGAGGTTGGATAGGGTTGAGGGAAAGTATTCTTTGATTACGGGACCGAGGAGATAGGACCAGGATATGCTGAGACGGGCGTCCATTGGTGGTAGGAGCTTGAGATCGCGAGGGACTTCGTATGTGCTGCTGACTTGCGCGATTTTAGGCTTTGGGTTGTTGAGCGAGCGTGAGAAGGTGCGGTGAAACGCATATCCAGACATCCCGTCCATGAGGTTGTGCGAGCAGACAAATGCGGCATGGAATCCTGTCCAAGGACCACTTCTAGTCTCGGGGGTTGCGATGATCAGGCGCCATTGCGGTTGGTTATGATGGACGGTCACTGGCTCATTGTGTGATTTTGAGAGAATTGCTTCCAACTCTGACGGTGTTCCACCTGCGTCCAAGAAGTCGATATGATGGTCGACATCTATCGTTTCAGCTCGGCTGATCTTCGGCTGCTCAGTATCGGCATCTTGAATCACAATGCTGAGTGCTGCATGTTCGGAGATGCAAGCTTTGGTGGCTTCAACGATGTCCTCCCTCGACGGCAGCCCTGAACTGGCGTATGTGCATAGAGTGGCGACGCTGTTGTAAAGATTGAGATTTTCCCGGACGATGCAGCGCTTCTCGTTCAGTCCAGCTGCACGCATCATGCTCAGCTTCTTTGATATGTATCCCTCCAGACTTCCCGAGTAACTATCACGCACAGCGCAGTGGATTACTTACGTAATACTGCCTTGCCAGCGGTTCAGAATATGGCTTTTTTTTTGATTGCCTCTGTTCTATGTCCCTATGGTCTAAAATACAGGTGCGAAAATCCTTTCCCTGCCAAGAGGACACGTGTTATAAAGTATCCGTAGACCCGCGGTGCAGGTCAGGATGGCCGAGCGAAGCCGGAGGCGAGCGGCGGATAACAAGTCAGCCTTGCTAACACTTACTCGTAGTCGTAGGCTATTGGTACCCTCTATGCAACTTATGCTAAAAGGGCTTGTTAATTCCAACGTAGTATCAACTGTATATATACTATAACGTTATTCTAATGCCTAAAAGCATATAGCAATCTATTAAAGATAACTATCTATTAGCTATTAGCTATCTCCTAATCATTATTAGCCTGTTTACTATCTTCTATTACCTCCTAATTATCTATAACCTCCTGTTCTTCTATTACCTCCTACTTATCTATTATCTTATTATCTTAGAAGTCTACCTATCGTATAAGAAGACAGGTTTAGCCTTACAAAGTAATTGTAACTCTAGTAACAGTTAGAATAACCTCTCTAAGTCGGTCCTAATCGACCTACTACTCTTTACGAGCGTTAGTAAACCGCAGCGTAAACTCTCTAAAGCTAAGAGTCTCGCTAGGCTAAATAGCGTTAAGTATATTAGTATTATTATACTAATCTTCCGGAAGATGCTCTAGAAGTAGTAAACTAGAATTAGTAGGGTCCTTAGTATCTAGAAGGTCGATTGTCTAGCGAGCCTATTACGCTTTCTTACGGTTAGTATTAATACGCGCGAAGAACGCGGTCGTCTTAGTAGGAGTAGCTACTAGAGCATATACTAGATATATACTAGTAGGATATGCTAGCGGAGGGTCGGACTACGAAGAGCCTAGCTATAATAGCTATAGCTAACTAACTTAAAGCGGTAGAGGAGTATACTACGGGTATAGAGCCTCGAACTAATCGATATATCCCTATACTAGCTTAGTATTAACGCTGCCCTTAGCAAGTAGATAGCGGAAGTTATAAGCCTCTAGAGTAGCGCGTATATAGCGCTAAGCTAGAGCAGTAATCTTATATAGCAAACGCGGATTAGCTTAAAGCTAGGCTTAAAGCTACTCTATACGATTAATCGCTTTAAGGTCCTTAAGATACTCGAGCAATTGTCGCTTCTTCCGCTCGGCTTCTTAAGTAGACTATTGCTAACGCTATATAGCAATTTGCTCTCGCTGCTTCCGTATATACTCTACTATCTTATCTCTAGTCTTGTCTTACTAAGTATTAGGTCTCGGAGGTATCGAAGAAAATACTATATCTTTAGGAAGCAAACGCTATAGACGTCGACGAAGTATATCGGTATAGCGAGCAACGGTAGTAGGCGGTACCTTGCCTATCTTAAAACGATTATAGAAATTAAATAGGGCCTTAAACATAATGTCGCTTAGTCCTCGTATACGGGACACGCCGATATATATTAAGCTAGGCGTAAAGTCCTTCTTAGAGATATCGAGTACTACTTTATCGAGTATTATACCCTAGGATTTGTAGATCGTAATAGTATATACGATAGTAGTAGGGAACTAAGTCCGTAAGTATCGTATATCTTATCGCTAATTATAGAGCTACTCTCGACGGACTAGAATAACCGGAACAACTCGACGTAGTATACTAAGAGAGCTATTAGGATCGAATTCTTCGTCGAAAGTTAGTCCGGTATACTTGTCTAATTAAACAAGTAGTACTATAGGCAGCTTATCGAGAATGTCTTTATTATTACTTAATAGCTAGACAACGTCGCGGATAGTGCCTAGGGAGCTATTAACAATGCCGCCTTCTATCTACAAATTCTATATAATTATAATACAAGTACTAAGGCAGAGCGGAAGTCGTATATATAGATTGCCGCTAACGTCGTAGGTAGCATTAATAGCATTATTGCCGCTAGTATGCTTAGCGCGGGCGATCTTAATTGCTATACTATTGTCCCGTATAGCGTCTTAGTTATAAGCGTTAACCTACTTCTTATAGGGATAGAGGCGAATAGAATCTTTAAAAGAATCCTACTCTACTTATAGTAGCGTAGTCTTAACCCGGCTATAGAGCGTCTCCTAATACGTAATAGTTATACTAGCTAGTATATTGCGAAGACCTTTAAGAGCATCTTTGAATGCTACGGCTACTAGATCGCTTCCCTACTAGCGTTAGAGTACGCTTAACTAGATTGTTTTGTTAAACTATTAGTATATATTATACCCGGAGATATCTTTAGGCGTACGTAGAGCCGCTAATTTAGAAAACAGCGGCTTGCCTCCTACTAGTAATAGCTAGTTGAAGTCCCCTACGAGAGTAACATAGCGACTACTAAATAGAAGTATGCCTTCGCCTTAGCTCTAAGGCGGAGCGAGAGAGACTTGTCGAAGGCGCTAATTAATCTAGTATAGTATAGTTAGGTCGATTATAGACTTCTCGTTAACAACGATATACTTAATCTACTCTAGTCGGTCTTAGAAGTTAGTTAATACTTAACTATCGAGGGGAATGTATTCCTTTATCTTTAGAGGCAGCTTAAAGAAGGTATGTAGTATACTGCCCTTTATACCGTTTGCCGTAGCTCTAGTAGGCGCAAGTCGTACGATAGGATTGCCTATCTATAGATCTGCCTCTACTTAGTCGGATTAGTTAAACTTATTAGCGAGTGCTTCGAGCTTAGAAGATACAGTCTCGATAACGTAGGACTTGCCGATACCTGCTTTGCTATTAATATTAAGTAGAAAGGTAGGCGTATATATATTGTTAATCTAAGCCCGCTAGTAATCTATAACCTTGTTATACTAAAGCTTCTAAGCGTTAGACAATCTATTAATACGCTAATCGAGGTTATAAGGTATACCGATACGCTGTCCGTTACGAGCAATACTACTACGTATAGTAATCTACTAATTCTTAGCGTTGTCGGATGTTATGCTATACTTAGCAATATAAGACGCCTAGTCGTATTTACGATCGATCTCTCGGTTACTAAGATCGTTAAGGTCCTCGAGCATCTCTATAGGATTACGACCTAGAAGTGCGGTAGTAAACAACTTAGCTTCTAGTCGCTCGACCTCTAGGTTATAAACCTCGTCCTCGAATAGATCTTCTATCGGCTTTAGCAGATTAATGCCTATTAAAGGACGGAAACTAACACTACTACTACTACCTATAGTAATAGTATAGGCTACCGAGGGTAATATAACCTATAGCAATATAGGCAGCTATGTTTAGTATAATAGGATAATAAGACGGTTGCTTAGGCTAATAACTAGAGCCCTACAATATAGGCATTATAGAAGTATAATATAAACAATATGCTATACGAGATTAGTGCTCTATCTATAATATAGAAGGAGGCCTCTTATATAGGCTTAAAACTCAGCCTAGGTATATAGGGCTAGTTACTAGCTAATATCCCTCCCTTTCTTCGTGTCTAACTAGATACGCTTTATATTGCGCGCTAAAAACAAACAGGTATGTAGTTGCCTTAGGTATCTTTAGCTAGGGCTATTTTTTAGAAACTCCTAATAATACCCCTAGGGTAGCATTGTTCCTAGAATCTATTAATATACAAAAACAATCCTAAGCAATTAGTCTACTATACCGACTTACTACTGCTTTAACACACCGTAATCCTTACTAGTAATAACCTTATTAGCTAGGCGGTTCTCTAAAACTCCTCCGTAGGTATTAAAGCTATTAGTACTAAAGTACTCGGCCTCGTAGTAAGCTTAAGTAACGAGGAGGTTAGTAGCCTTCTCCTATATAGCGTTCTCCTACTCGCGTAGATATTCCTTAAGCTCCTCTTCGTTAAACTAGAGGATTTATTTAACTTCGTTCTAAACAACGTAACTTAACTAAGGAATTCTACTAACTAGGGCATCGGAAATGTAACTAAGGCCTTCTACTAAGATAGCGGTAGGGAAGGCGAACGGTACGAAGGTATTAGAACCTAGAAGGGCGGTTAGATTGCGGTACGCCTTAGCAACCTTAGGGACGGTTAAGTTGTCGTAGCCTTTAATCTTAGTACCGTCGATAACGCGAGAGTAGCCTAGGTCGATTAATATACGGTCGCTCTTAGCCTTTAGATTACTATATAGAAGGTATAGTATCTAAATAGAGACTTTGCATTCCTTTAGAGGGTTAAGGATCTACTAAGCTACCTCGCCTCTATTAGGCTAACTATCGAATATATGTTCGAGGTCGTCGTTAGTAAGGTACTTATTAGTAAGCTTGCTAATCTTGTTTAGTAGAACTAAGTTATAGCCTATAAGCTTCTTAACCTAGTTATCGAAGACCTCTAGTTCGTATATATCCTCGATAACTATTAAATAGGAGGTCTTATCTTTAGATATAAGAGAAACCTTAATACGTAGATAGCTAGCACCCTTACTAGCTGCGAGCTTAACTATATCTTGTCCGAGACGAGAAGTCTCCTTAGTAGGGCAGTTCTTATAACCGCTATTACCTACCTTAAAGTACTTAGTAGGCTTAGGGACAGAGATAAGCTCGTATACGTAATTAGGTCGAAGGGTAACGGCTAAGAGCTATAAGGCAGGATACTAGCGGACGATTTAGTTGCTTACCCTATAGGTCTAGAGGGCATTACGGCCTTCCTACTTAGACTTAGGTAGCTTCTGTAGGTACTAAAAGTATATGCGAAATTCCTCCTATATTAGGTCGACGATAAGAGGAAGGTACGCCCTACGAGGCGACTATATCTAACCGAAGACTCGAGGGAAGATAGTATTACCTATTAGACGAAAGCGATCGAAGGAGATGCCTTAGCTAAGAATACTAGCGACTAACTTACTCTAACGATTAGTTAGCGTAAGTTCTCGAGTAATAGTATTAGTAGGGTTAAATGCGTAGAGTCCTAAGGAGGTCGGGGCGGCAGTAGGACGTCTAGGAAACTAGTTAGCGTAGTTGTCCTAAAGGGTAGTAAAGGCATCCTAATTAGCAACCTTATACCTAATCTTTACTAGACGGCCGATAAGGACACTCGTCTTAGCACTAGTATAAAGACTATAGACCTTAGCGGCTTTCTTAATATAGTTAGTATATATAGTAAACCGCTCTTTACCTAGCTTACTAAGGTCGTCGAGCTATTAATAGATAGATAGGGCGGTAGGAGCTTTGCCTATATCGGCTTTAGGAACTATATCGATCTTAGTAATAAGATATATAATAGAGTCGCCCTTATAAGAACTATAGATATTCTTAGTTAATAGGATCGGCGAGAGGCCTCTATCTCTACGCTCGCTAAAGGAGCCTTCGGAGGAGACATCTTCTAGTAGTATATCTAGTATATTAATATCCGAGTTACTATAGTTAGTACTATAGTTAGTACTAGAAGGGGCGCTATACTTCTTAGTAGCCTTATAGAGGGCCTAGCGAGTATGTAATGCCTTCTTACGCGCTACTTCGGCCTTAGCGCGCTCGTCTTTAACTTCCTTAGGAACCTTACGGTTATAGGTCGAGCGATAGTCTTAAGCCTATATCTCCGTAGCGAGCGCGAGACTAGTAGCCGTATCGGCCTCTATTTCTAGGCGAAGAGCCTTGCGTTTAAGAACATAAACGATAGGGGCCTCTTAACCTTTAATAATAAAGCCTATACTATTAATGCGATAGCCCTTCTCTTTTAGTAGATCCTTAGTTATCTGTATATTAAGATCGATCTAGACAATTGTATCGTAGTGCCGCTTCTAGTAGGATGTCGTAAAGTCGTTAAGCGTAAAGAACAAGTTAAGTAACTACTTGCCTACCTTCTTACTAGCGGTAGATATACGATAGATTAGAGTGCGGGAAAGGTACTCGGCGTCTTAACGACGGACCTTATACTTATTAACGAACGAAGAGACCTGCTTAGTACGCTCTTATCTACCGTAGGCGAAGTTAATAAGGCTCTTAGGAAGACTACTTAGTCCTCCCTAATATTCGAAGGCCTAGTCGAGGGTCTTAAAGCGTAAACGAATCTAGGTACCGGTAGTCTCGAGGCTATAGACGATAGGAAAGGCTTGTTTAATATCTATATCGTTAAGAACCTCGCGCTTAAAGATACGCTTACCGATAGACTAACGCAAGTTGTTTATACCGTACGTAACTAAGATAGTAGCCTTCTTAATATTCCTATCGATAACGTATAGTAGGGTACGAGCGTTCTAGATCTTCTCTTAAGGATCTTTAAGGGCGGTAACGATCTAGAAGCAGTGCTCGAGGCTAGTTATAGTAGCTAAGGCGCTATCGGATAGGGCTTCGATCGGGACTAGGGCGGCTAGGCTTAGGTTAATAGGGGCAGGTAGGTCGTTACTACTACTAGCGCCTAGCGGATTCGGGGCGCCGGAAGACATAGTCGACCGAAGCGGTTTAGAAACGATTTTGCAAGTATTCGTTGCTTAATAATAATAATTAAAGGGTTTAGATAGAAGGGGGGGGATAGTTAGGCGGTAGCGAGTTAGTTAGTAATCGAGTAGAAGAAAGAGCTTAGGAAGCTCGCTTTAAATAGGGTGCGAAGGTAACGTAGTCCGTATATACCGCGCTAGTAAAGCAAACGGATAACGGCTATACGTAAAAGTAAAGCTATATACGAGACTTCTTTATTATTAGGGTAGGCTAAAGTTTAACAATCGATCTAGCTAATTGCTAGTAGCGACTACGCGCCTTTATTAAACTTTAGCTATCGTAGACTCTCGCGTAGTCGAAATATAACTAGTTAGTTCGAGTCCCTAGTAGAAATCTATAGTAGTAAGGCTAGCGGGACTAATAACACCCCTAGGGTAGTATTAGCTTTTCTCTAGAGATACTCGGTAACGAGGAGCAAGTCGCCTAGGCCTAGCGTAGCTAATTCGTCGGTATATTCGCCTATAGCACTACCGTTATAGATATAGCATTACCTTTTATATTAGCAAGCACGTAAAGGTAGTCTATACGTTTACCTTCTTCCTTCTTCTAAATACTAAGCTTAATAGCCTAAGGTCCCTATTCTTAGAGGCTATAGGCCTAGGTTACTATATCTATCTAAGAGATAGGAAGGGAGAGGGATCCTCCCTTTCTTAGTATCCCGCGTAACTAGTGCTAATTAGGGTAGGAACATCCTCTAGTAGAGTATCTTGTTATCGTTATTACTTAAGAATAGTTGCTAGAGTCTAGGAATCTAGAGGGAAGTAGTCCTAGAAGGGTAGAGGGTTAGGTTCGGCTATTTTCCTAATGCTACCCCCGGGGTATTATTAGGAAAATACGCCTCGTATAGTTCTATCTAGGGAAAACAAAAGGAGTAAAGCTATAGCAATATTAATCGAAGGCAAAAGAGCAATATAATAGACAAAGTAAAAGTAAAAGAGGGCAATAACTATAAGTATTAATATCCGTAGGAATAAGTAGTAAGGACTAAAGCTGTAGGGCGGTACTGTATTAATAGCGCGGAGAACGGTTAATAAGCGTAAGGAAAGCAACGTAGTAGAGGTAGGGAAAGATAAGCAATTATTTAGTCTCGGGATCGTCTAGCTATAATTCTAGGCGGTCTTCGTCGCTAGACTAGTCGAGCTCCTCCTCGGAGTTAGAGTTAGATAGCTAGAAGTCTAGTTTACTATCGGAATTAATATCGGAAATGCTCTACGCGCAATTAATACGTATATAACCCTCCCTTTGTTTATAAGTTATTCCTAATAGCTTACTAAGATATATCTAGGGATACGTATAGTTGTTAGGCAGAATAGGATCTATAATCGCGGTAGGATCCTCCTCTCTATAGGTATCTAAGGTCGGTAGAGGGTCTATAGAGGCACTAACTTCCTCCTCGGTCGGGGGAGGGCGGATAGGCTCTCTTAATTCGACGACCTTCTTTAGGTTCGCCCGGGGGTACGAGTGCTTCAAGGTAGCACTATTAAGTTCCTAAAGTCGGTACGTAGAACTATCGTAAAGGACCTCCCGCACTCTATAAGGCCCTTTCCATTTAAAGGCTAGCTTATAGGAGTAACTATATTCTAGCTCGGACCGGTATAAGAGAACTATATCGCTAACCTTTAGAGGCTCCTAATTAATAGCATTATAGTTATCGAAATACTACTTAGCCTCTTTACGAAGGCGACGTTGTCGAGCAAGTCCCTCCTAAGAAGTAGTAGTTATATCCTTAAGAGCCTTAGCGCGTAAGGTAAGGAGATCTGCTCTAGTACGAACAGACCCCTAGTCGTAAACGCTATACGTGCGGTAGGACAACTTAATAGGAAGAACGGCGTCCCTCCTAATTATAAGCTCCGCTAGCGTAAGTCTAGTCGTATCGATAATAGTAGTTCGATCCGCCTAGAGAAGGGCTAGGACGCGGGTAGAGATAGGAACCGACTTGTCCCCTCTATTAGTTATCTTAGATAGGGCATTAATTAAAGACCGATAGCTACGCTTAATAATAGTATTCGACTAGGGATAGTATAGAGAGATACGAGAGTTCTTCGCCCTATACGAAATAAGTAGCGCCTAAACTTCTTAAGCTATATTGTTCGTAGCGTTATCTAAGATAATCTCGTAAGGTATTCCCTAGCGGCAAAACAGATCTTTAAATAGAAAGGTAGCTATATTACGGGCATTAATAGCACCGTAGCCCTTATAGAAATAATAGGCCTCCGGCTATCGAGAAAGACCCTCTCGAATAATATATAAGCTATTGTTACGGCTAAGATAGACTCTATCGCTATACTACCGCTCCCCGACTAACTAGGTAGCAGGAATACGTAGTTCTCCTAGACGTCGGTAGCTATTCCTAAAATTGCACTTAGGATAGCTCTTATAGTAATAGGAGACATTAGCCTATATGCCGTCCTACTAGTAGCGCCGACGAAGGACATCGAAGGTGCCCTCCGCCGCTCGGTAGCCGAGCTTATCGTAAACGGAACGAAGGATTTCTTATCGGGCTACTAAGTCGTTAATAACACGCTAGAGTAGTGCATTAACTATAGCCTATCGCTAGAGGATACGATCTTTAACAAGGAACCTCCGAGAGTAGCGAATAATACGATAGTATTAACTCTTTAATAGACTAGGTGCTTTCTTCGTATAGGTTAGGAAGTAGGCGATATAATAGGAGTTATCGGAGTAGACCCTATTAAGGATATTATCTCTATCTAGTTTACCCGCCTTAGCTTTAGCCTAGTTATTATCGTTAGTAGTAGGGTTCTCGTCGGGCTAGTTACTAGGTTAGTCGTCGGTAGTAGGCCTAGTAATCGCTAGCATAGTATTAATATAGAAGGTAGCGAAGAAAGTGCGGTTAATTACTATATCGATATCCTCTTCTTCTATTATCTCGGCGATGTCTTCTTCTATAGCGGGCCTTCTAGAAAGGCTATCCGGTCTAGTATACTTCTTGCTAGGAACGTAGAAGACGTCGAAGTTAAACAAATAGATCTAGGCAACCTACCGAGCTATTATAGAGTTTAGTAGGTCGGAGGCTATATAGTTAAGCTAATAGACTAGCGTCTAAGCATCGATTTCTAGACGAAAGAATATACTAAAGAGCTATAGTCGGAACTTCTTTAGAGCCTTATAGACTCTAAGGCATTCTCGCTTACTAGTATCGTACCGGGCCTCGATCGGTTTCTATAGCCCTAAGTCGTATCGGATAGGGTAACGCAAAGATAGCTCCTTACGGTTATACTATATTAGTATCTCGCTATAGCCTTCTCCGCTAGAGTCGATAGTAATAATAATTAAACCCGCACCCTCTAAGTAGTTAATAGATATAAGTGTAGGTGCGCTAACGAGTGCCTTAGTTACCGTATTCTTAGCCGCTTAGTAAATAGGGGTCTATTCGAACTTAGCATCTTTCTTAAGCAAGGCGTATAAGGGCTTATATACTAGTATAAAGTTCTCGACCTAGATACGGAAGTAGGAGACTACTCTAAGCTAGGTTCGGACATCCTTCTAATAGGTAGGATCCGGCTAGGACACTATCTTTAGGACCCGTATATTATTAGGATAGCGGCCGTTCTTATCGGTTACAAACCCGACAATGTTTATTCGTTTATATAGGAGCTAAAGCTTCTCCCCGTATACCGTTAGATTAGCTCGCTCTAGGTCGTAGAGGACACTATCGAGGTTCTAGATATGTTCGAGAAAGAACCTATAGATGCTAGGCTCTACTTCTTTATTATCGTACCTAGTTTTAGGGCCTTTAATGCCGATATCGTCGAGGAAAGGCATCGCTATATAGGAGATATAGGCCGCGAGGACTTAGTTTATAATACGAACGAATTAAGCTACTAAGTTAGTCGCCCCTTAGAGAAGGGTAGTTTGTCTATATAGCCTAAGAGGTGTTTCGAAGCTAGTAAGGTCGCGGCTATTAGGGTAGAGAGGTATCTAGTCGTAGCTAGAGAAAACATTAACTAGTAAGGCTATAACGCAGTTAGCAAAAGCTTCCGAGAACCTATTAGTCTCTAGAGGAAGGTTAGTATCTCTAATCGTAACTACGTTAAACTTTTATATAGCGTTAATTAGACGGTACTTCTTTAGTTCCCTAGGAGCTGTCTTCTTTTAAACTAGGAAGTATAGATTGCGATACGAGGTATAGGAAGGCTCGAGTATACCGGCCTTTACGCGCTGCCGTATTATATCCTTAACTATACCTCGTAGGCTTAGGTTTAGCTTAAAACCTAGGTAGGCCTAAGGCTTATATTCGATTATTCGGATCTTCTACGGAGGGGCAACCTCCGGGTTAATTCTACCTAGGTAAGTAAAGTTATATACTAATACGGCTTCGCGATTATATAGAAGCTCGTATAGCAGGTCTAGTTCGCGTTCCGAAAGCTCTATACTAGGTTTAATCTTCGTAAGCCTTTCCGGTATTAGCCTTAAACCCCTAGGAATAGTAGAGAACTTTTTAGTAATGTATTTCTAGTCGTACGGACTATTCCTAGGTAGTAATATTGCTTCCTAATTAAGACACTTTTGTCGCTAGTTAGGATTCCCGCTAGGATTAGACCTATCGGTAATATATACGCTGCCTTTAACGAGCTTAATCTTGTTAGCTACCCTCTTATATAGGGTATATACGCTAATCGATTGTCGAACCCGAGCTCTCTCTCTTTGTCGCTAGGCCTAGAGATTAGCGTAATAAAACAGCGCGTAAACTTCTTTAGAAGTTTCCTTAAGCCGATAGGTATATAGCTAGTAGTCCTAATTTATAACGCCGGCGAAAACGTTAGATTCGTAATAACACCCCCGGGGTAGCATTAGACTCGCGCTCTAATTAGTTAGTTCGGATAGGCCCGCGTCCGGTAGTAATACTTACGACAGCATTATTACCTTAACTCGTATAGTAGGTAGTAGTTGTATTATACTTGCTATCGCTTTAAGCATTCGTCTTCTTAGTATAGAACCTAGAAACTTGCCTTAACGTACGGAGCGGCGCACTTCTAGAAATAACCTATTTAAGCTATACTAACTTATAGCGCAGATTGCCGGTCTTATAACCGCGCCGCGGCGTTTCCCGAAGACCGTCTAGAAGCAGTAAGGATATCCTCGTAGGACTTGTAGCTAGTATTACCGATATAACTAGTAAATATAACTCGGTTACCCTTCTAGTTAGCGATAGTTCCCTCCTAGGAGCTATCGTCGCAGTTCCGCTAGATACTACGGGTTATACGAGACTATAGTCGACCTAGAATAATTAGCGTATTTAGATCGGCGGCAATCTAGAAGGTAAAGGAAAAGCATATGCCGAAGGCGTCTACTATAACATTATAGCAAGTACCTACTAGCGCAACTTCCCTATTTACTCCCTATATACCGAGGGAAATGTCTCTGTTTATTAGTAGCCTAAGTTGTTTAGCCTAACGCTTACTTATAATAAGTAACTCTAAACTATTATTAAGTATTGCTAGCATCTGCTAACTATAGCTTCCGATAGTAACCTAAATATAGATAGCGGGGACGACGGCGAAGGAATAGGTAACTGCGGAAAGGTCTATATTATTAGGGATAGAGTAAAGTTCCTTAGGTCGAGGAGGTCCTACTCGACCGATTTATTAGCTAGTAAATCGGATAGCCTTAATAGAAACTAAAACTAGATTAGGGTCGGGATTATTACTATCCTCTCAGCCTATCTCCTTAACTCCCTTTTCGTTAGTATTATCGATAGTCTCTTAGTTCTCGTAGGTTACCGATTCGCCTTCTACTAACTCTTAGGCACCTAAAAATTTAGGAAGGAACTATAGGGAAGAGACGTCTATATAGTCTTCTTGTCCCTATTTTCGTTAGAGGGTAGCGAGGTCTTTTATAAAGGTAGTATCGTTAGGGATTCTGTTAGGACCAAAGAGGTTATACGTAATTAGTATATAACTAGGCTCGAGTAAAGCTAGGGTCTTAGTGCCTTAGGCAGGGCTTAGCGCTTAGCGTTAGGCTAACTTGCCTGCCTTCCTCCCTCTCCTCTTAGATCTCTATCGAATACTATACTAATTTACTACTACCCTATCTACCTACTAATATAACCCTTCTTATATAGTATTCGATCTACCCTTTAAGGGTAGTAGCTAGATAGTCCTTATTTCAAGCTTTTAGCGGTATAGCTACGAAAACTAATTTAACTATATTGCGCCCGAAGAACGGGACCTTTACGTACTATTCTATTAAAAATAACCGTACCAATTATTAAGCAAGGCCTTCTATACGGCCTATTATACTAAATTAATCGCACTAAGCCGATATCTACTAATTCCGCTACATCCGTATCTTAGGGGCCTATAATACATTATCGGTGCTACCCCTTATTATAATAGCCGGCTTATTACGAAGCAACAACAACCGCGGCGCCGCTAGCAGCGCTAGTAACGACAACGCTAGTAGCACAGTGCCTACTAAAGTGCCTACTAAAGCACCTGCTAAAGTGCCTCCTACTAAAGAGCCTACTAGAGGGCCTACTAAAGAACCTATAATCGAAGGAGATAACCCCTCGTTGCCCGTTAACGACATCCTTAACAATATTGTTAATCGACGATATAGCTAGCTAGCCTTTAGCCCCTAGCTAGTAGCGAGACTTTAAGAAGCTACCTAAAACAGGCTTACTACCTTGCGTTAAGAATAATAGCTAAGGGATAATCTCCTCGAAATCCGCCGCCTTTAGGAGGCCCTAATAACTAATACTAAACTAGTAGCAGGGCCTTCCTTACTAACTGTTTAAAAGAAGGATGCTAAACTTAAGGACTGTACTATGTTTAATAGCTCTAGTCGAAAGCAATACAACGATTATATTCGTAACTATAAGCTTAACTAACGCAACGCACTAAGAGCGCTACTAGATGACTATTCCTTAGTCGTACACGCTATATAGTATATTAATAGCGACCTAAAACGCACTTAGGATAATTATTTCGACTCCCTTAGTAACTAGACTACTATTTAGTAGAAAACCTATAAGACTATTATGCTAGACACCCTTAGAAATCCGATACTAAGACAATAGCATACTTAGGACTAATACCTTCGAGCTAAACAAAAGACTAACTAGTCGGCTCGTTTATTTAAGGCCTATTTAAAGACTCTCGAGGATAACCTTCTAGCTAAGACTGATTCTATATAGATCTCGGAAATACGCCTAAAACTAAGATAGGAATTAGTCCTTAAATTAGACCGTCGCCGTATATTTAAATAGGCCAATCTTATACGCATTCAATTTATAGTAGAAGTCGAAACCGTAGAGCGTATAGTCTAGCTTTAGTAACGGTTAGAATCTAAGATACGACTAGCCGCTAACAACCGTAGCCGTAGTAGAAACTAAGGCTCCTACTAGAACAATAATACTAACAATAGGAATAGTAACAACGACCGTAGAAGAGGCTATAGCCGACGGCTATATAGAGGAGGCCGTAATAGGGGCCGTAGAAGGGGCTCGTATCCTTATAACGCTAACCGCTCGACTAATAGCAGCTATAGCAACCTCTTAACTAGATTAAAGTGCTTTAATTGCGATAGTACTAGCTATCTGCTAGGCTAATGCGACAAACCTAGGGATTAGGCCCGAGTCGACCGTACTGCCGCTAAGCACCGAAAAAACCTCTTAGCCGCTAATGCTACCTCTATAGGCTAACCTTCTAACTAGTCGAAAAAAGAATAAGCGCCGTACTAACTATTAGCCTTATGCGGCGTAAAACCATCGACATTGTACTAGCTATTATACGTACCTGTCTTATATAGGACACATATAGAACTAACTATAAGACTAAGGTTACGCTAGATCTAGGAAATTCAGTTAGCGCCCTTATTAGCTATCGCCTAGCTAAGCAATTAGATCTTCGACAGTTAAATAGGGCTAACCTACTAACCCTTGCTTAGTTTAATAAGGCTCGGCACTTAACCTATAGAGCCTACTATATTCCTATAATTCTAAAGAACGACCTCGGTAATAAGCGTTTGTTAGACTTTACTACCTATATAGTAGATATAGACAGCCTTCTATCCGATATTGTTATTAGCAACCCTATCCTTAAGCACTACGCTATAGCTATAGACTTAGGCCTCTAATAGTAGCAATTTAGAATCGCTAGGAAGGAGGACATTAAGTATATCGACGTTAGCGAGTGCCCTAACGATATTAGGGTCCTATTTATTAGCAACCTAATACCTGCCGTAGCCGACCTAATAGTCGACCTATTAGGTAATAACGATAGGCCTATGCCCCCTAATAGCATAGACCCTAATCAGCTCGAGCGTATACTAGAGCCTATTCGAGAAACCTATATTAATATATTTAAACACTACTTAGTATCGACATTGCCTATATTTAAAGAGACGGATTATAAGATTGATATAATAGAAGGCAAGGAGGTTC